CTAAATGTTCATAAAGTTGTTGATACAACCAGAGAATTATTTGTGATTTTAAAACACTGTATTATTACAAATCCCTAGCAAAATCTATACTGAGGATAGAAAGACCATAAAGTAATCTTGGGCCACATTCTGTGGTCCCATGGTTTGTGGTAAGGGCCACTGTTATTTTGAAACTATATATACATATTTATTATGATAAAATAATATAACATTAATGTCATTAGGTACTAAGATTTCCAGCATCAGTAAAATGAGACAACACAAAAGGAGCAAAAACCCTGATGAGGTAGAAAGGACTTGCAGCAGACCTGTAATCTGTTCTTTCTTCTCAATGGCCCAAAACAGAGCAAGTAGATACAACTCTCTATCCATGATAGAACCACCTCAGAAATATGCTAAAGAGAGACCTGCTGGCAAGCACACTGAAGGTATTTACTATTGGAAGAGTCCTTACTTATGAAATGCTTCAGCAGGATGAACTTGATCTGTCTACACTGCTCATTATACGAAAACCTGGGATGTATATGGGCATGACTCTAGGAAGTATCACATACACTATGTAATTATCAGAGAAGAAACTGGTGATACCTGGTGGTACCAAAATCCATGGGTGTTCAAGTTGCTTAGATAAAATGATGTAGTACTTGCATATAACCTATGCAATCCTCACTTTACATCATCCCTAGACTACTTCTAATATCTAATATAATGCAAATGCTAGTAAATAGTTGTTACACTACATTGTTCAGGGAATAATGACATGAACAACAAGTGTGGACATGTTCAGTACAGATGCAACCATCCCACTTTTCCAAATATTTTTAAATATTTGGTTGAATCCATGGATACAGAGGACTGACTTTATATAAGAATCCATGAATTTATGATGCTTGTGATATTGTGAAAAAATATTTGGTCTTCAGCCTGTTTCCAGAAATATAACTTAAAATCCCTGGAATCTCTTGAGTGATAAGAATGTCTTCTGTATGCTAATGAGAAAATTGGTGGCTGGAGGTGCCTAGATAGCCTTTGGATGGGACTTGGTTGCCAGGAAAACCAACCATTAGATTAGAGGGCTGGAATTTACAGTCCTACTCCCCAACCTCAGGAGGGCAGAGGATTTAAAAGTTGAGCTAATAAATCAACCACCAATAATGTAATCAATCATGCCTGCGTGACAAAGCTTCCAAAAAACACCCAAAATAGCTGAGTTCTGGGGGTTTCTGGAAAGCTGAACACATGGAGATTCCTGGAGGGTGGGTGGCATGGTCAGATCAGAGAGGGCGTGGAAGCTCCCCAGCTCTTCTCCCATACCTTGCCCTACGCCTCTCTTCCATCCGGCTTTTCTTCTCTATCCTTAGTAATATCCTTTATGATAAATGTAAATTTACATTTATATTTATTCATTTATCATATTTCCCAGAGTCCTAAGTGCTAGCAAATTAACTGAACCCAAGAATGGGGTTGTGAGAACCCTGATTTACAGCCAGTCAGAAGCACAGACAACCTGGGGCTTGTGACTGGCATCTCAAGTAGGGGGGACTGGCTCTTGTGAGACTGAGCCCTCAACTTGTGAGATCTAATGCTATCTCCAGGTAGACAGTGTCAAAACTGAATTAAATTGGCAGACGTCCTGCTGGTCTCTGCTGGAAAATCCTCTGCAGAACTGATTGCTTACTTGGTATGTGGAAAAATACCCCCAACATATCTGGTGTCGGAAGTGTTAACTCGGTGAGAAAGAGAAAAAAAAAAAAAGCAAAACACACCTTGGTTTGGTTTTTCCTATATCCTTACAATGCTCAAATACAAAGCAAAACAAAACAAATACAAACAACAACATACTCATTAGTCTCTTTTGGAGACTGCTTGGGCACCAAGTTCTCATTTCCAAACATTTCAAAGGAAAGAATCAAAGAGTTTATCTAGCTTTTCCTTGATAAGACCACATTTCAGGGTAATCAAAGACTTGATCAGAGAGAATTCTTTATAAAATAATCCCAGGATGCAGGAGGAATGGCAGAATTAGAGTCGCCATTTTTGCAACCCCTAATAAGTAAAAGATCCAGACAACAAACATAAATGGTTGCCAAAATCTCTAGGCAAAAGATCAATGAGGACCTTTACAATGGTGAGATAAAGCTGATACCACTTGACACCGCTGATTAATCTTAACATCAGTAAAAGTAGGAAAATCAGACACTACATGTCTTTCAATGCAATGCATAGAAACTACACACCACTACCTATGAAATACTCTCAATAAAAAGACAGAACCAAATCTACCCATGTCTCTAGAACTAACTCCCAGTTTATAGAATATACAGCAGATAACGGAACAGTCTCAATGACATTACAAGGACATGACCAGCTAGATCCAAAATGTGGGAAATTGTACAGCGCAAAGGACATTCTGCATTTCTTCAGCAAATAAAATGACAGTTAAAAACTGGGGAGGGGCCGGATGCAGTGGCTCACACTTGCAATCCCAGCACCATGGGAGGCCAAGATGGTCAGATCACTTAAGGTCAGGAGTTCGAGACCAGTCTGGTCAACATGATGAAACCCCATTGCTACTAAAAATACAAAAAAATTAGCCAGGCATGGTGGCACACACCTGCTATCCCAGCTACTCAGGAGGCTGAGGCAGGAGAATCTTTTGAACCTGGGAGTCGGAGGTTGCTGTGAGCCAAGATCATGCCATCGCACTCCAGACTGGGCACCAAAAGACCCCACTACACAACTCCAGTATGAATAAATAAAAACAAAATTAAAAAAAAAAAAAAAAAAAAAAGGTGGGGGAGGGAGAACAGCAAGAGTTTAAGAGAAACCTAGATCTTAGCTTGGAAACTAATTCAAACAAATTAATTGTAAAAAGACACTTGAAGCAACTAGAAAAATTAAACAGTCTGGGTATTAGGTAATAAAGGAGTAATGGCTAATTCTGTGATTTTGCTGAAAAGAAAATTCTTGAGAGAGAGAGAGAGAGAGGGAGGGAGGGAGGGAGGGAGGGAGGTAACAGCACATGTGGAATTTGCTTTAAAATATTCTAGGAAAGAAAAAAAGGGCAATTGTGTGTAGGGAAGTAAAGATGAAACAAGACCAGCAGAATGTTGATGTCTATTGAAGCTGAATGAGGGGTGGTAAGGGGGGGGTCATTTTACCCTCTACCTTTGTGCATGTTTAAAAATTCCTCAGGCTTGGTGATGTCTCATGCCTGTAATCCCAGCACTTTGGGGGGCCAACGTGGGAGATCACGTGAGTTTGCTGCTGCAGTGAGCTATGATCATGCCACTGCACTCCAGCCTGGGTGACAGAGTGAGAACATGCCTCTAAAAATATAAAAACTAAGAAAAACAAAAATAACAAAATAAAAATATCCCTAATTAAAAAATGAACAATGGATTAAATTATTTAGTAAAAATTTTAAAACGGTAATACAAGCTAGGCTGAGGTACAGAAAAAGAGGTATTTTCAAAGGAAATAAGCAGATTTACTTTTCTGAAGAACAATTTAACAATGTGTATCAACTGTCTTTTAAACTTTTACATCCAATTCAGCAAATTTGCTTTTAAGAATTCTAAAGCCGGGCGCGGTGGCTCATGCCTGTAATCCCAGCACTCTGGGGGGCCGAGGCGGGTGGATCATAAGGTCAAAAGATCGAGACCATCCTGGTCAACACGGTGAAACCCCGTCTCTACTAAAACTACAAAAAATCAGCTGGGCATGGTGGCGCGTGCCTGTAATCCCAGCTACTCAGGAGGTTGAGGCAGGAGAATTGCCTGAACCCAGGAGGCGGAGGTTGCGGTGAGCCGAGATCGTGCCATTGCACTCCAGCCTGGGTAACAAGAGCGAAACTCCGTCTCAAAAAAAAAAAAAAGAATTCTAAAAAAATTTTCACATATTTACACAAAAATACATCTAAAATGATCAACCGGCAAAATGTAAACATTTTGGTTTTATGGTATCATATATTTACATATCATTTTTTATAGCCATCAACTATCAAATTGCAAAACAATGCTAAATGACATGGGAAAATGTTTATGGTAAACTGTTAAATGCAAAATGCAGGCTGCTATAGCATACACATTTTGACCCAATTTACTTTTCTTAAAACTATTCGTACACCTAAAAAATTCTGAGAGAATATTTTCCATGATGTGAGTAGCTGTTTTTTTCTAGCTGATGTGATTCAGGTACTTTTAATTTTTTAAAAATAGTCTTTCTATTCATGAGAATGGTATATTTATAGTAAAAAAAAAAAAATTCTATTTTTTAAAAAAGTTCAAATTTGGATCAGTTCCTTAGAGTGGCTAGCAATGGAATAATAAACAGAAATAAACAGATAAGGCAGTGATGGCTGAAATAATAAACTAAAGGACAGAAGGGTAGCAGGACATGGTAGAATCGATACATTAATAATTAATTTCTAAAAGGACTGATATTTAGAAGACTATTGTGAAAAAGATGAAGTTTTAAATTGAAAAGTAGAGGTTTCACGATGGTCAATGTTAGAATAGGGCTGAAGTCCACAAACGCTTCAACTGCAGAGGGACAGACACCTCAATCAAATCACCTAAGATGATCCACAAGGTTCTTGTAGCAATAATCCTACCACAACCCTGAAAATAACCACAGTGGCATGTTAGGCAATTCTTCCTGAGTTTCTGTTTTGTATACTGCCCTGACAGATTATTTTTTAAAATTTATCAGTGAGAAATACATTTATATACTGGAGTCCAAAAAGAAATATTAGGATATTAATAAAAAGATAAATGCAATCCCATCTATTGAATTCAGCTTATGTAACTTGGGTCAAATCTGTTAAGTGAGTAACTTTGGTATATTAAAATCTAGAAATTCCCACAAAAACACACTCTATATATTATTTGTGGGTAATAATCAGTGAAGGCAGTCTTCTTCACCCTCTTTATTCATTAGCCTAAAAATTTCAGTTGTCTCCTAAATAAATCAAAAAGCAAGAAAAATATCCAGACTACCTGGTTTCCGTACTTTCTTTGGCTCTTCATAGTCCCTGTTTTCTGGATTTGGAGACTCTAGAAAGCTGATATCTTCTGTGACACTTTCCCCCTCCTGGCTCTTGAGGCTATCTTCCTCTTCTTGAATAGAGGATTCTAATTCGGATTCTTCTGAATCAAGAAATATTTGACCAGCAACTACTCTGCCTGCAGTAGTATGGTCCTTTACTGACTCATCTGATGTCAAAGTAGTCTGAAAATATAAAGTATTTTTTAGTTACCAACAATGCCAAGACTTTCCCCAGTCCTATTTGACCATTATTTTTACTAATCCAGATATCACATCTCCTTCAGTTCCCTGAAGTACCACACTCGCTCATCTCTATAGGCTTTGGCATGTGTCCATCACGTGCCTTCATCACCTGCCTAACTTTCAGTCTTGTTGAATTTCAACTTAGATGTTATTTCCCCTGGAAGCCTTCATTAATTGTCAAAGTCTGGGTTAGCTTCTCCTTCACATGCCCTCAACATACCTTATACTTCTACTTCCTGCTTTGATCTACATACCCTCAAATCTAAAGATCAGAGCTCATAACTGATTGCAGGGTTGGGCTTGGGTAGTACTCGGGTAGTACTCGGATGGGAGAGCTCCATCAACCAGTAAGTGCATTAACTCATTGGATTTATTTTTGAAAACTGCTAAGTGGAAACAAATGACACAGGTTAAATCTTTGAACTTAGACACATACACACACAGAGCACATTCAAGTTGAAATGAAATATTTACTATTCCCTCTTGTAGATCAGTGATTTTTTTCTTCCTCCAAATAAACTAGAACTAATACTAATACCATCTGTTTTTTTCTGTCCTTTTTAATTTAATTCTATTACTCAAAAGTTGTAGATTTCATATCATTTCTAAGATACATAATTCATGCTTTTAAATTGGGCAGAAAATACTGGCCAACATGCATTTTAGTACATACCTTGGAATCTAAGGATTCATCCTGGCTGCCTTCTTCATCTGCAAAGAAATTTTAAGACAATTTAGTAATCTTTCTTGCTGGGAAATTTCAGTTACTATTCAAAGAAAACATTTGAAAAGTATTGCAAATAATCAAACACTGGATATACAAACCTAGAATTACTTTAAAGTTAGCCATATTCAACGATTTTTCAGAAAAGAACAAGTGAAAGGAAAAAAAAATGGGCTGGGGGTTTAGTTTCTTTCTCCTGCAAAGGCATTAGCTTCATCTGTTACAAAGGTAGGAGAACCAACACTCACCAACAAAAACAGGTATTTCTTCACATTCCATCCAATTCTTGTGAGTCTATTTAGTCTGTTTCTTAGAATGAGTTACTAAGTTCATAAAAATAAATCTCTAATTTCATACTCTGGGCTTCCACCTATTCTGTTTCTCTGCTCACGATCTTGAGTTAGAGTAGCCCATGTTAGTGCTAAATAGCATTTTTATTGTTTACTAGTAGTAGTAAGGATGGAAACTAAGAATTATTGTTTGATAGCAGAGTTGCAAAACAAATATATTTAGGATTTGTGTTCTACTTTTCTAAGAGATAAGCAGATACAGGCAAAAAGCACCATGATCCTATCACATATTTACTCAATTGAGAGCTATATATTAAGAAATCAATAGCTTATATTAAACAATGAAAAACAGCCACTGGTTACACCTTTCTTAAAAATTCACACAGCCTGCTTTGGTGTTGTCTGATTACATTAATTTTGCTTCTGTTACTCTTTGCATGTTTTCTGACTATTACTTCTATTCTGGCTGCGTGTTACTCTTCTTCCTGCACTTACATAAACACAAGTCAATGTTCAGAGGCAAATGCTTGATTTTTGTATTCCTTGACAGTTTAAAACAGCAAATCTGTCAGATCATCTTTAAGTTTCTTTCTTGCTCTTCAAATTACCTGATTTTATTCAGGAGTGAGTTTCAGTATTACCTGCTCCATAAGCTGTATGAGATATTAACCAATAGACAAGAATGCTGTAAGACCATGTGATTTTGACTAGAAAACTTGGTATTATAGTTGTCATTTATACTTTACTTCCTATGGCTGTATCTTAAATATTATTTGTAATTTATAACTCTCTAAAATACAACAAAAACATGTGTTGGAGTTTATTATCAAAGTATTGAGCTAATGCTAAGAAGTATAACCAACTCAATTATGCACAAAATATACAACACAATCTCACAATAGTTCTTTTGAATATTTGAGAAAACTAGTCCACTAGTGAGGTTCTGCCATGTATGAAAATGCTTACAAGTCAAAGGAAATTTAAATTACAGCTACTATTCATATTCACCCACTTTCAGATTACCTTCGAAGTATGTATTACTTCTGGCAGGTGGAGAGAAGGGTATGGTACATATTAGTCCCATAGTGCCCATAACACTAGGCAATGATGTCAATTAACAATTGTCCTTCATACTAACTTATTCACAAATATTACCCAAAGCCCAATTTCTAACATATGGTTCAAACTCCATTCTCAGCAAATCTTTGGATAATTAAAAAAATCATCTCTATATCAAAGTTGTATTGTAAGTACATGCGATTAATCACAAACTTGAACTAGTTAATATATCAAGAACAGACATTAAATACTGAAACTTTAGATTAGTTGGAACTCTAAATCACTAAATTGCTAAATTTAGTACTGCATCGTAACAGGTTACATAGGTAGCTAAGATGTGAATCGTACAGACACTCCTGTAAATACATTTAAAGACATGTACATTTCACACAGTACAAGCTGTTAGGAATTAGGGTAGCAAAATGTGTTTTGGAACTCCAAGAAACATGATTTGTGACATCAGGGTTATTTCATGTGAATTGCATCATGCTTCTCTTTCTCGCTCTCTCTCTTCACCACTAGGACTACACATTAATATTACCGGTAAATAAGATAATTCTTTCTCAGTTACTAAAATGGGAAAGGCTGCTCCAGATGGTAGTCTCAAAGCATAAGCTATTTTCTTTTTCAAACTGATACACATACTCACACAAAACTTTTTTTTTTTTTTTTTTTT